AAAAAAAAAAAAAAAAAAAAAAGGCAAAAGAAAAAAAGTAGGTTAGATTAGAAAACAAGATAGTCGAATTCAGGCAGGGACTCGGCTGTCCCTGCGCAGCTTGGCCTTGCTGCATTCGCATTAATATGCGCAAAACTCCTTTTAAGTAACATTCATGTGGCGGCACCCAGCTCCAAAACAGGCAGGCTGCTCCTGAAACCCATCCTTGAGGGCCATGGGGAAGAGGAGAGGTTCACAGCTCTCTTCTGTCAGGCTAAACTTTTCTCTCTTTCACACATTTTTTTTTTCCCCTTTAGGAGTCCTGGCAGTTATTTTTGTGTGAGGATGGGGAAGCCTTATGGCCTGAAGGAGTTAATTTCTAAAGAAAAAATTAGAGTGGGGTACTGTTTATTCAAGCTGTGTTTTGTAGAAGACAAGGTACTTCTTTTCAGGGGTGCGGCTCACCTGGGAAAAATACGCACTGGCCTCGATATACCATAAAAACCTGCTCTGTGTCCCCTGGAGGGAAACAACACAAGCCAGGGACTCCCCTCGCTGCCAAGCAGCACCTCCAGCTCTGAGGCCCTTCAACATCCAGCTGCAGCTCCCAGGGATGGCTGAATAATTTCACACTGCTCTGTGTCCTGCACGCCAGCACAAAGGCAGAGGGGTTGCTTTTCATCCCAGGAGCTTTGCCAGGGGAAGACGTGAAAAAGCTGGAGAGGGACAGTCTGTGGGAGGGTGCTAGGCACCTATGGCGATGCCCAGCACTGCTCCTGCCTCTGCTCCTGCTCCTTGGAGCTACTCCAGCATGGGCAGAAATACCCCCGCCAGCTCCAAGGGGGACCATTTCCCAGTAGCATCACCCCTTGGTTCCAGCGCTGCCACCACTTTGAGGGGTGGCACTTGAGGGCTCAAACCCTTGCCTGGGTGAGGAGCTCTCTGCAGCGTAGAGGGTGTTTTTGAGAGAGGGGTGTGTGGGGCTCAAGCCCCCAGCGAGGTTGCCACAGCCTCCCACAGGCAGGGCCGAGCTGCTGCTGCTGCTCCACGTCCCACACAGGCACCTCGTGGGTGTGCAGGAGCCACGCTGAGAAACATCCCACAGCCGACAAGGGGCTGCTGGTGGCTTTGCACGCTCCCACCATTGACCCTCCACACCACGGGGCCAGCGTTCTCCCCCAGAGAGAAGACACTTGCTGTCGGCTTGCGGAGGCAGGGGAAGCTGTCCCACTGGGACATTGCCGCCCTAGCAGCCACCACCACTGCCAGCGGCTGCCGTGCTGGTCCCCAAAGCTGGACGGGCAAAGGAAGAAGGCAAAGGAAGGGTGGCAAGGCCTCACTCAGCAAGGATCCCTCTGGCCGATGCTGGGAGAGGGCTCCCAGGGAAATGACTCCATCCCCAGCTCCCTGAAGTCCCCATCGAGTCACCACAGGGATCACTGCTGCTTTGGGGGCAGCAGGAAGCAGTGGAGAGTAGAGGCGGGTGGCAAGAGCCAGTGGGTATCTGCAGCCGGGCCCTGAGCGACAGTAAGGGAGTAGGAGAAGGTACGACACCAGAGCAGAAAGGCCAAAAACACAGCAAAGGCGCCCAGGCCGCTCGGTTCCCAGTCCGAAAGGGATGCTGCTGGCTGCTCCCTATGTCCCCGCAACGAGGCGGGTTAGGATGGAAACTCTGATGCAAGCCCGGCTTGGCTGCGGCCAGGCAGAGTGAGAAATCTCCCCCGTAATAGCGCTACTTGAACGGAAGCTGTGCTCGACCTCGGGTCTCCACCAAAAATCCCCCAGGCGCAGCCCTCCCTCTCGCTGCTGCTCCCGAGCGTCCCGCGGGCGCCGGGCTCGCTGGGCTCCGGCTAAAGCGAAAGCATCACACACTGCAGAGAAATGACAAACACATCTGTCGCCCCCAACAAACCCCTTCCTTAGGGTTTCAGTACTGAGGAAAAAGGGAGGAAAAAAAAAAAAAACCGAACAAAACAAAACAAATCAAAATCCCGGAACAGAGTCGCTACTCTTGGGTCCGTCCCTCCTTTGGTCACTCGCAGAGCCGGGAGCCCCCCCCTGCCCGGGGCCGGGATCGGAGTCGCACAAGTCACCCAGCTCCAGCTCCCCATATGGGAATATGGGGGAATCCCATATCGCATGTGAACTACAGGGAAGCCGTCTCTCCAGCATATCTGTACCACCTCAAGTGTCTCGGGAGTACCATCCCTGTCTTGCCACCGCGCTATTTTTAATGACGAGTCGTATTAGCAGAAGGGCTTTCTTCCTAATTTATTACCCACCCCCTCCCCAAACCTCCTTGCTTTAAAATGTTTCAGTTCAAGAGCTCGGCTGAGAAATCAAAATAAAGGCAGCACCCGGGCACTTTGCGTCCAAGGTGGCCGCTCCAAGGGCTCGCCAGTGCTGGAATCAGTAGCTCCGAGCAACTGCACCGGCAGACCGAGGGCACCGTGACCTGCGGTGGTGATTCTCGTAAACAAATTTCTATTAATCACCAGGGCCCGGGAATGCCTTCACAACCCAGAGCGTGCTTTTCCCCGCTCCCCACCACCCCGAGCGGCAGCTCGCAGCCCAAAAACCCGAGCGGGAAAGCAAAATGAGCGATCCGAACCACCCCCAAACACAACCCCTGCTGCAGGCCCCCCAAGAAATAAACCCGCGATGCTGGGGGACAGAGGCGAGAAATGTCCACAGATTTCCATCCAGGGATCCGCATTTCCACAGAGGAACGGGCAGCTTGGGGTGGCCGGTCCCCTCCCTCTGCAGCCCCTGTGAAACCCACCCGAGACACTGATTTTCAAGGCTTTGCATTATTCCCCCCCTCCCACCTCCCAGCAAAGGCCTTTGCCCAGCAAGACGCAAAAAGTGCAGAAATAAAATCCCTTTCCAGAAAAACCAAAGCGATTTTGCATCCCCAGCACAGTCCAACAATTCCATACAAGCAGAATATTTATACACTTACAGGTTATTTTGCAACAATAACAAAACAGCTACACAGAATTAACCCACCACTTGAGTGTCCTGGAAAGGAAAAGAGAACACGGATGGAAAAAAAAAATAAAAGAAAATCATCAAAATATATATATATATTTTTTTTTTGTCTGGAGGATTCTGGCAAAGAAAAAAAAAAGGGAAAAAAAATAAAAATAAAACAAAAAACTAATATGGGGAGTTCATGGGGAACCATCTTTAAGGAAAAAGCTTCTTCCCCCAAGAGTAAATCCCATTGGAGGCCCTGAGCCGAGTGTGGCTGTTAGCGAAAAATTATTTTAAAAAAAAGCTGAATGAGGGAAAAAATAATTAAAGAAAAAAAGTAAAAATCCAGAACAATGCCGCTGGCTCCTGGCTTTGATCGCTGGGCTGTTTGGTTGGTTTGGGGTATTTTTTAGGGGGGGGAGGGCTTTTTTAGAAATGCGAAAGTGACCCCCCGCCCCAAAATAAATAAATAAAAAAAAATAAAGATAAATAATAATTAAATATATATTAAAAAGTAAACAAAAGGCGCTTTTTTTTTTTCCAAGATCTCTTCGCTCGTTTTCGGAGAGGTTTGGGAGAGGAAAAAGAAAATAAAAACAGGAAAAAAAAAGGAAAAAAAAAACCAACAACGCCAGAAGCGGAGGCTGGTGATGGTAGGGGGTGTGATGTGTGTTTGCACCGCCCGGAGCTGTGCCCGGGACCCCCCGTTTTCCTCTCCCGCCGCCGCCGCCGCCGCCGCTGCTCGCTCCGCGCCGCGCCGCGCGCGCTGCTCCGCGCCCGCGCGCCCCCACGTCACCGACAGCACCCGCCGCCACGTGACCCGCCGTCCGGGCGCGACCACTGAAGGAGGGGGGGAACGGGGAGGGGAATGAACGGGGGGCCACACGGTGGGACCCCCGCCGCCACCGCGGCCCCCTCGGGATGCGCGCCCACCTCTCGCCGACCCCGTTGGCGGCCGCTCCGGGGGGGCGCGCACAGCGGGAGGGGCGCGGAGCGGGGGAAGGCGCGGAGGGGGGAGGTCCGTGGCCCTCCCCATGCCGCGCGCGATGGTAGAGTCCGCAGCTCAAATTCCGAGAATTGGGCTCTGTTGATTCTTAGAACTGGGGTTCTTAGAAGTGGTGATGCAAGGAGTTTCTAGGAAAGCCCGGAGACCAGGTGATTGCTGCTTCTATTGCCGCGGCCGATTTTACCCTTTAATTCTCTCGCTCGCTTTTTTTTTTTTTTTTTTTTTTTTTTTTTTCTCTTTTTTTTTTTCCCCTCCTCTTCCCCTCCCTGCCGCGCTCCGACGCTTGGCGCGGAGCCGCCTCTATATATTTCTACCCATTTTTTTTTTCCTCTCCCTCCTCTTTCCTTGCCCCCCCTTTCCCGCTGCAGGTGCCCTTTAATTTATTTTTTTTTATTACTATTATTATTATTATCATCTCAATTGAAATTTTTTTCCCTGCCTTATTTATTTATTTATTTAATTCACATACACATCCCCCCCTATTCCCTTGCCCGCTGTCAGGCGAGAAAAAATTAAGGAAATAGGGGTGCCTGCATGTCTTTAACGCTGGGAGCGTGTCTAAGGGGAGGGGAGCGGGGTGGGTGGGGGTGTCTCCCCTCGCCGTCCTCTCCCGGGGATTATCGGTTATCTGGGATTATTGGCTTTCCCGCACGCGTGACGGCCGGGTGGGGACGGGGGGACGGCGGCGGCTCCTCTCTGCACCTGCAGCCGCTCCGCGGGCGCAGGACGGCGGCGAGCGCTGGCGGCCGCCGGGCTTGTGGCGTGACTCGGGGTCCGCTCTCAATGGCTGGATCCTTCGGTCGGGGTGTGTTATTTTTCTTTGCCTTTTTAAAATTTTTTTCTTTTTATATAAAATTTTTCTCTCTGGTTTTTGGGGGTTTTTTTTGGGTTTTTTTTTTTTTGTTTTGTTTTGTGGGGTTTTTTTTGGTGTGCGCGTGTTGTGTCGCTGTTGTCGTTTCGCCGCCGCGGAGCGGGGCTGGCGGCAGAGCGGGGGCTCGGCGGCACCGGGCACCGGCCTTTCCGTGCCAGCCCCCATTTCTCTCTGATTCTGTTATTAAAGCATTATTATTATTATTGTTATTCCGTCCCTGGCGCAACCGCGAAAGGGATGGTGCGTTTTGCAACCTGTGGCGGGGCTGCGCCGTGATCTGTCAAGCCCCGGGCTAAGAGCGGGCGGTGATGGAGAAGACTTGCGGCATTTCCCTGCCCGGGGAAGGGGGGAGCCCGCGGGGAGGCTCGGCCGCCGGCGGCTGCCGGCCCCGGAGCACCGCGGAGCGCCGGCCCGGGGCGGCGGGGACCACGCTCGCCTCGACGGTGCGTGCGGGGCCGCTGCCCGCCGGGAACACAGCCCCGATGCACAACTCGGGAAGGGGCAAAAGTGTACGAAGCGACTCTGAATATCATGCGTAGGGCTGGAAATAATAATAATACCAACAACATCACCACCACCCGCGGGGAGGAGCGGGCGTCCCCCGCCGGGAGGAAGGCGGCGGGCGGGGGAAGCGAAGCGAGGGATGCGAGGGACGGGGTCCGGGGCGCGATGCGTGCGGAGCCCCCCGCTGCCCCCAGCGCAGCCCTTGCCCTGTGTTTACTACCGCGGCGGACTTGGCGTGGGGACAGGCGCTCGTAAATCTGCCGGCGGCAGCCGCGGGGCTGGCCCCCGGCCACACGCTATTCCTGGAGCGAGCGGCCGCGCAGCCCCCGCGCCGCTGCGCCCCCGAAGCCGCCCAGAGCGGACGGGCAAGAGAGAGAGACAGCCGTCTGTTTTGCTTTGTTGCGGGGTTTTAATTGTTTTTATTAGGTGCGTGATCTTGTGTGCGCGTATATATATATTTATTTTTAATTTATTTTTTTTTTAAGCTCCCCCTCCCCCCCTTTGAAAATAAAGGGCAAAACAAAACCGAAAAAGCCCAACTTTGTTATGAAAACTTTCGTGGTCGGACGGCAGCGACCTCTCCCGGCCGCCCCCCTCCCCCCCGCCGTCCCCCCCGCCTGTAGTTTGCAAAGTCACAGTATGAAATGTTATGAAATCACCTCTTGGGAAGGAGGGAAACAGAAAGCAAGGCGTTTGTTTAGAAAAATCCGCGGCAGCCTCTCAGATGTGCCTAAAAAGCTGCCTTTGACCCCCCTGTTGCATTTCCAGGGAAGAGGCAAATCTGGGCTTAAAATCATGAGTCAAAATCAACAAAAACAAACCTGTCCCCGGTTAGTTTTTTCCACTGGCTTCAGTAGGCGCAGGATCAGTGCGAAGGGAGGCTGGGGACAGACCGATGAGGCTCACTGAGAAGCTGCTACATTGGTCCGACATCTCTGTCTTGGGCCGAATCCTGCTTGTGCTAGTGGAAGTGTCAGCAGGGCCAGGTTTGGGATCAGGCCCTTATTTGATCTGGGAGTCTTGCTGATTCCTTTCCTGAGCTTTTAAATGCTTAAAAAAATATTATTTGTCACACTGTTTCAAGGATTTAAAGGATAAGAGTTTTAGGAGCAAATGCAGGCTCCTTCCTCCAGTCCTTGAGGGGGTTGCAGTTCAAAAATTGCTCTAAAAATATTTTAGGGGAATCCTCTCTTTATGTATGCATGGAGAGGCAAAACCGAAGATTGTCATTTTCTCCTAAGGGTAGGATTGCAGGTTTAAAAACTTGCATTATAGATGGCAAACATTTTGTCCCATGAAACATCACCAAGCCATTAAAATAGTCAAAGGGTGTCTAGAAATTTTCCAGAAGAATGGATTATTACATTGTTCCAGTAAGAAAAGAGTTCATCACTTGGTGTTCGATTTTGATTGGCAAATCAAAAGATCTCTTGAGATACATTTCAATTCCAATTTCCAATCCCCCTCAGTTCTGACTGTCTGAGTCAATATTGGGAGAGGAAGTGGAGGTTAACTGGTTAGTTATTATTGCAAAGGAAGAAGTTGGAATGAGAAGTGATTCTTATAAATCCCACCCCAAAAACAAAACAACAACAACAAAAAAAAATCCGTCAAAAGTCTTTGTGACACTTTTTAGACATCCCTGTTTGCAGTGCAGGGAGGATTCAGCCGGCTGTTGAATGGTACAAAAATAAACCTAGCAGAAACATTAAGTTTTTCAAAACAAGGCTGGAAAAGCTCATAAAAATAATGTTGCTCAGACGCGTTTTAAGAGGAACAGAATTACATCGACAAAATTATATGTTTTCCAGGTTTGGTTGGGGTGTTTTATTTTCCAAGGGGAAAAATTGCTCCTGCAGCAAAGCGAACTGGTGCCATCTAGTGTCACCTCCCGCCGCTCCGCGCGGGGCTGGCAGCCTCGGGAGAGTGGGAACATGTTTATTAACTGCTCGTTAAAAAAAGAAAAAGAAAAAAAAAATGCTTGCCAGCTTGGAGGAAGGTGGCAGAGGAAACTCTGGATGCCACTGAACTTACTTAAGGAGCCTAATTGGAAACAAACCGAGTGCTTATTAAAGTCACTGACATTTCCATATGGAGTCCTCTCTGGGTCTGGTCATGAAATCACATGTGAAAATCTTTCCGAGTTGTGGTGTTAATCTGTCCTTGAATTTTTGCCTAATTTAGGATGTATTGTAAATCCTTGCTTTTTTGCTTTTTTTCTTCTTTCTTTTTTTTCCTTGGGCAGGGAGAGCTTTCAGCCTCCAACTGCAGCAGCCCAATATGAATTTGTAGGAATAGTGATTGGGTTTGGAGCATTTTTTTTTTTCTTAGTAAACAGTAACGTTATCCTCAAAACCCTATATAAATACAGGTGGTAAAACTTTGTGTGCCAGTCCTGTGTGGTAGGACTGTCCTCTCATTTTATTTGGATTCTCCACAAGAAAGAAAACCTTTTGCCAAGTCTATAGATGAATAAAATAAGCTCTAATCAGCAGATGCATTTCTCAATGTGCAACTTATGTAGCTTCATATATTTATGGTGTTAAGGTTGAAGAACTGTTTCATACCTGTTTTTGTCTGTATGCTGTAATACCTGGGCTGGGAACTTCACTCCAAGAGCTTTTACTGGTTCAGCTGGAGCCTGAAATGTTGTTTTCATTTTTCTGAGAAGTTGGCAAAATCTAAACTTGGTGGAAAGTTGCTTGTGTGCTCATAACCTCTTGCTCCATTTTATAGTAGCATGTGAGTCTATAAACGGGAGCCTTGTATGCCGAGTGCCTGTATTCTCTAGATCTATTTTTAAACCATTCTTCTGTTTGGCAAAAAGTGACACTTGGTTTCCATGTTTACAGCAGGCATTGGCAAACCTCAGGAGTTCCCAGTTTGCAGTTTGGTTAGATCAGTATCCAAAAGTCAGCATCTGACCAGTAAGCTCCTTCAGACTGCAAATTTAGACTGCAAATGTAGTCCTCCTTTTTCCTTTTTTTTTTTTCTTTTTAAAATCCAAGCTAGATCTTATGTGTTAGCATCACTGCAGGATGCTGGCAGCCAAAAGACACACACCCCTAAACTGGAGCGTCTAGTCCTCAGGACTGCTTTATTCTCAATATTATCAGAGAAGCTTCTCATCTAAAACAGAGAGAGAACTAGGGGCATTTGCAAGAGGGGTAGGAAATTTTTGATCTATACTGTTTTCCTTCCCCTCTTTCTCCTCGTTAGTTGCTGCATTTGGTCTGTGTGCCAGGTTCCCATGGGGAATGTTGGACCCCTGTTTATGGAGGAGAGTGCTTGAGACAAGCACGCTGCAGGGCAGGGGGTTCTGAATGGGTTCTGAAGAAGGTGTCCTGTAGGACTAGATACCCTTTGAAATGCATGTTCTTAAATCTGTTTGTCTAAATATAGGGGCAGGGGAGTGTCTCTGCCCTGGCCATGGCGCCCCAAGCTGTGCATGTGTCTCATCTCATCCAGGTGGGATGCCAGAGCAGTTCCTTACTGCGAGAAGGAGCTGTGCCACCCTCAGCCCCGGGAGTACAGAGATTGGGAGAGTCAGGTGCCAGCTGGTAATTTTCTGTCCCAGTTCAGGCTAGGGATAATCAGACACCTCCTTGGAGCACAGCAGGGCTAGGGACCCAGCTCAGCTGCTGGGGACACCCGGCTCCGGCTGCACCCTGCTCTCGGGTCGGCATCTCGGTGCAGGGCTCTGTGTTGGCAGGGCACGGAGTCCGTCTTCTGTTCTCTGGAGTAGCTCCCTAGATTTCAGCCAGGACACATGGTTCCTGCCTTCCCTTGAAAAATTAATGTGACAGATTGCTTGGGGTCGTTTGAAATGCTGAGGAAGGCTCGACTCCTTGCTTCCCAAGGGCACGTGCTGCCTCTGCCTCACAGCCAGAGCTTGGCTCTGTAGAGGGCAGGGGAGTCCTCTTTAGTAGGAAAACATTGGAGGCAGTTTTAGCGTGCTCACCCCCTCCCTCCTCTGCATTTTCTTCTGCAAAGACCAAAACAATGTGGAGACTTGAGCTGGGCCAGCTTTCAAGGGCAATCCTTTAAACCCTCTTTTGAAGTATGAACTATAAAGTTCCCTGCGGCGCTCGAGAAAATATGCAGTTTTCCTGGTTCCAAATGCTGATAATAAACCCATCCAGATAATGTATTGCATTTCCTAGAAACATTTGTTTGCTGGCAGGAAATTGGATCAGATTGAGACCGCTCGATAGAGCGAGTGCAATCCGCTCACGGAAGGGTACGGTGGAAAATACGGCAGGGCTTGCAATAGTGATGCTGCTTTTGATCTGTGCTGACGCTGTGGACTTCTCTCAGTCTCTTCATGGGTTATTATTAACCCGGCCACGTTTTGGCCTAGACACTAACCAGAAGCTACTAAACTAATAAAACTCTGCTGTGACAACTAAAGGACACTCAGTGCCCCTGGATTGCATGGTATCAGAAAGCTGAGCTGGGCACTTCCACACCCACAGCCAAAAGCATCTTCTTCACCGTGGCGTGTAGCACCCATGGCTGTGCTGGGGGAGCCACCCACGCCTCACCTCATTTTCTTGGTTGTTCCCCAGATCCCTGTTCAGGAGAAATCAGGCGTTCCTTGGCAGGGTGGAGAAGCAGCTGGCAGCACACCCTGGCAGGCAGTGGGGATGTTCCCATGGGGCTGGGACCCTGCAGGGTGCAGGGACTGGGGAGGAGGAGGGCAGGATGGAGCTTCCCCTGGGTGGGCAGTTTCAGAACACTGTGTGGGATGAGGCTGTGGGGAAGGAAGACTTCACCCAACCACCCCTCTAAGGTGATGTGAGTGAGTCGGCGCTGCAGGCTCTGGAGGGGTAGGAGATTGGGGCCCAGGGAGGGGGAATGTTTGATGGCCTCCTCCCTGCCTATGTGACTGGGGGTGGGAGAAGGGCTAAGACCACCCTGTACAAAGAAGGGTAAGGGAGCAAGGAGTTCCCACCGGAGCATAGAGTGGGAGGAGGATGGATGAAAAGGGATTCCCTCTAACTGGGAGAGTAGATCAATGGAGAGGCATGGCAGAAAAAGGGATTGGAAGTCCCTGGTTCTCGCCTCTGCCCTAGGGTGAGCAAAGAGGGTCTCCCCTTTCCATGGGGTTGAACTGAGAGATGTTCCCCCACACAAAGGTACACCCTCCCTGTGCTCACAGAGCTGCAGGGAAGGCAGAGCCAGCTCTGGGCTCCTTTCCAGGAATGGGTTTTCTCGGGGAGGTGCCAGGAGGGAAGGGCTGTTCCCTGAACTGCTGGGGCAGACCCATTGCCTTCCTGGAAGGCAACAGCAGTGACTGTCCCGTGTGGCCACCCCCAAAATGGGCCCTGCGCCTGTTCCAGACCTTCCTCTATGGGCACAGCCAGCCCTGGCACACAGCCTCGAGCACTGCCGGAGAGCCCACACCTGCAAGGTACTGGACAGGAAAACTGGAGGTGGGGGTGTGGGATGATGTGATGGCCCCAGCTGAGCCTGGAGGAGCCTTATGGGATTGAGGGGGTTTTAGATGGCAAAGACCATGCTTGGCTGCAGTGGTTTTTTCTGCTCCCCATCACTGGTCTGTGGTCCTTGTTGCCATCCCATTGTCTCTGGTCTGAGTATCCTCCCGTGCTGGGGTACAGAGCTAGTGCTGTGTGGGGACTGGAAGGGGCAGGGTTAACCCAACTCAGCACAGCAAGGGGAAGGAACATCCCTTTCCCTCTGCATGCCCGCATCCTGCAGCCAGGAGCTGCTCGGGATGCACCTGCCCGGCTCTTGGGGCTGTGGACGTTGCAGCAGCTCTGTGCTGGGAGGGATAATTTGGAAGGGTGGGGAGGGGGCTGTGCTGGCATCCAGCTCTGGGAGGGAAGCTGGGCATCCCCCTGGCAGTGCTGTGCCCTCACTGTGGATAAGGGGATTTGGTGACAGTAGCAGCTTCTCACATGACGCTCACGGGTACAGAGTTCATCTGGCTGTTTGTAACTTTGTTGGTTTACAAGTGGGTCACCTCCTCACCTCTGTGACACTGAGGTGACTCCCCAGAGCCTGGCAGAGTGTCTGCCACTGTGGCTGAGGTTGGGGTGCCAGCCAGCTGCCCAAGCACACACATCAGCTCATGTGGGCACAGCGATGTGCACTGGGCTCCTTGCAGGGCGCTGTGAGTCCCTTGGCTTGCAATTGACAGTAGTGAGTGGCTGGCAGTGAGTGTGTACAGAAAGGTCAGATCTGCAGTATTTGGGAAATGAGTCACTTTTTGTATGTGCATGAAGTTTTAAAGCTGGCCAAGCCCAGAGCGGCTCTGAAGATTTGTGTTTGATGGCTGGAATAAAGCTGTAAGACACCCTCTGGGTTTTGAGCTTGATACCTTGCTTTAAATCTCATCTCTTCATCCCCGTGGCTCTGGGGATGGGAGGGGAGCTTGGGCTCCAGACCTGCGCATCTCCCAAAATGGAAAGGGAAGGCAACACTTGAAAATCCCTTGTCTCACAGGGATTATTGGGCTTCCTGCAATTGCCTGGCAGTTTTAACAATCTGAGGTTGGTCCTCAAAATAGTGTGATGAAGGTCTTGGGGTTTGTTGGCTCGACTCTTTGTTTTGCTTCTACCTGCTGAGGCAACTGCTTGAGGACCTTCTTCCAGCATTGGTGCCAAGTCAATAGGGTTTGGTTCTGAGTAAATTTTGGAGGATTAGTATGAGTTCTGGAAGGCAATTAACTCCTGGGTTTCCTTGCTGTTCTGTCCCAGCTACATTGCTGTACCTGGAGACAGAGCTTGTGGTTTAAGGGAAGGCTTTGGCAGTAGAAAGGGGAAGGGACATTTGTTCTGCATCCTCATTGTCTCCACCGCTGGCTTCCTGTGCAGTCCTGGCCAAGTGATTTTAGTACTTGATGCCTATATCCTCCCAAATCTGTTCAGCAAACCCATCCCAGGGCGTTTTCACCAGTGTTTGGAGCGTGTGGGTTCCTGAGCAGAATGGCAGCAGATGTTTGTGTGTATATCATACCTGTTAACAAGGTGCTGGGAGTATGGCATGAGTCTTGAATGCTGCACTGGACAGGAATTCAGTCTTGGCAGGGGAAGAGTTATCTCCAAAAGAAGTGGTGAGAAAATTCTTGCTTGACTTCCCTTCCCCACCTGCCTTTAAGTTCCTGAGTCATGGAAATGAAAATCTCCTTGGCATACGCCCATGGTTTGGGCTAGAGGGTGTGGAAGAAGCTATGATTGGATTCTCAAAGCCTGTGATTGTGATAAGAACATACTGTACCGGAAGAAACAAATGTTAACCTTACTGGAGAGTGGAAGGTTTGTTATCTCTAGCTTTTATCCAACTGATACTTGAGCGAAATAGCAGCCTTGTGACCTGCCGCAGCCAATTCATAATTACCAGCTAATGTGGTGTTTGTTTTCTTGTGATTTATTTATAGGTTTGAAAGAAACTTTTGGACTGTGAATTGAGGCATTGGGTATGTAAATTTAAATTTTGTGCTTTCCCTCCTAATCTCTCTCCCTCTTTCCTTAATGCAATGTTTCATTAGACCCAGCTGGAATTTGTTTTTGGGAGAGCAGCTGCTCTGTAGAAACTACTGTACATTCATGTGCCACTGGGGAAGGAGGAGCCAGGATTATGGGAGGGGTTTGACCGTGGAAGACTTTGACACCAAAGGTGCACATTCCAGCCCAAACCTCAGGGAGACGTGGGCCATCCTGGGTGCTGGTTGGGAGGACACCTCTGATATGGGTCAACAGGCATTGTGTTGGGGGAAGGCTTCATGTTCCTAGACTAACCCAAACCTTGCTCATGAGGAGGGATTGGGCCATGGTGTGGGTAGCAGCCCAGCAGGTTAGATGAGTTCTACTCCTCACCAGTTAATTAGGAAACTGTGGACAGGTCTTCTCCAGAGTGACCACCACTTGGGAGTAGGAAAGTAGTTTCCTGGGTGAGGGCTGGTATTCCACTGTGGGCTGGATTTTCCAGATGTTGAAACTTCATTCAACTTCAGTTGGGACCTTAAGGCTTGTTTTGATTCCTGTGGCTGGATTTACAGCCAGGTATCCCACAGGTGAGGAGGATGGCTCCTGAGGGAGGTTGGAAAGCTAGAAGCTATGCTGGAAGTGTTGTGGAGATGAGCCTGAGTGGGCGGAGTGGACTGGGGTGTGGCTGCCATGGGTGAGGCAGAGAGAAAGAGGAGATGGTTGGCTAATCCTCAGGAGGGTCTGATTGCCTTCACCCACCAGCTTGGTGGGTGGGATGAGACGTGCCAGGTCTCGCTGTCAGCCCAGGGACTTCACTAGGCAGCCTGGCAAGAGCTTGGTGTGGTGCAGGACTGTTTGTCTTGGGACCAAGGAGCTGGTGCTGCACCTACCAGGAGCAATTTGCCATTTGAGCATGTCCCAGAGCAGCAGCTGTCTCTTCCCTGGGTTTAGAGTACTTGCCTGGCTGTTCTCCATTCTCATCTTGCTCTGATGCTTCTGTCTCACAGACTCAAGATGGCCTCGCCGGCAGACAGCTGCATCCAGTTCACCCGCCACGCCAGCGACGTCCTCCTCAATCTCAACCGCCTTAGAAGCCGGGATATCCTGACTGATGTTGTCATCATCGTGAACCGGGAGCAGTTTAGAGCCCACAAAACAGTCCTGATGGCCTGCAGGTGAGAACAGGGTCCTTCCCTGGCTCCCTCCTTGCTCCTTCAGCCTTTGGTCTCCAGAAGCACTGCTGCAGTCCTGTGTGGGCTCATGGGATTCCTGGGGAATCAGAGGCAGAGAAGCAGAACTGAGAGGGGCTGCCAAGAAGTTTGTATCTGTCATGGGATTAGAGCTGAGAGTGCTGCCCTCACCTCTCTCCTTGTGTACCCACATCTGCCCACACACAGCCCCTGGAGACCAACAGCAGCACAGCAGCTGTGAGGCACATCCTTGAAGGCAAAGCACAAATGTCCCACAGGGACAGGATAGGACAGGGAGGGCTGGATGTTCACTGGGGTGAGTGAGTCCTCTGTAACTGAGTTGTCCCCTGCCACTGCTATTTTTAGAGCTATTCCTCCCTGGATTCCAAACTGCTGGCTGAACCCACCTTAGTTGATTATTTTTTTTTCTTTTTTTTTTTTTTTTAAAACCTGATGGGGTCTGAAATCCCTTCCCAGCCCCTAAGATGGCTGGAATTGCTTCCCAATGAATGCTAATTAATATCCCACCATTGCCCAGTTGAATTACAGCAAATGCCTTCCAGGTTATCTTGCTGACATGGTTGCAAATATTTCAAAAAGCCAAGCTTTGACTATTAAAATGTCTGAAAAATGTTTTTCCAACATTTCTCCTTTTTTTTATTTTTCTGGTTTAAGACTGTGTGGATGCCCCAAGAGGCTTCTGAAAGAAATGAGTCATAGTGGGAAGGGGATGGTGGTAAGAACAACAATGGGAAAAAAACCAAAAAAGCTGGGGAATTACTAAATGGAGGCAGTGGGGAGTTGTTGAGCAGGTGAGATGTAAAAGCAGGCTGTTCCAGTTGGGAAAAGCACAGAAGACGCTTACTAAGCTGAGAAACCAAGCTTGATAATAAGGGGGAAGCTCAGGGAATTCTGTAATTGCCTCCTCCTCCCTTCCCATTCACAAACCCCTCTGTACTCAAGGATTTAATACAAAATCTCCTTTTTGCCTTTGAATTGTCATGACACTTATCCTCTCTACTGTCTCTGCTCTGCAGTGGCCTCTTCTACAGCATCTTCACTGACCAGCTCAAGTGCAACTTGAATGTCATCAACCTGGATCCTGAAATTAACCCTGAGGGGTTTTGCATCCTCTTGGACTTCATGTACACCTCCCGCCTGAACTTGAGGGAGAACAATATCATGGCTGTGATGGCCACAGCACTCTACCTACAGATGGAGCATGTGGTTGACACCTGCCGAAGGTTTGTCAAGTCTAGGTGAGTGCAGTCTTTTTCGAAGAGCCTTGGACTGTGCGTTTGGGTGGGCAGGGGAAGAACTGACAAAGTATCTGCAGATGTATCTTTATGGGCTGAAAATTACTTTGTCTCCCTCCTGTTTTCCCGGATTCCAGTGAAGCAGAGATGGTGTCTGCTGTGAAGACCCCAAGGGAAGAGTTTTTGGCTGGACGGATGCTGGGCCACCCAGAGGTGATGGCTTATCGGAGCAGAGATGTCTCAGAGAACGGCATGCCTCTTCAAAACGGGTCCCTCTGCAATGGGAGGGCCTTTGCACCTGGCTTGATCAACGGTTTGTCTGGATCCCCCATTTCCTACCACGGATACAGCCCTCTCCCTCTGAACAGCTTCCTAGTGGATGATGAATTGCGGGAGATGAGGATGCCTCTCTCTGAACTCTCAAGGGCAGGTGCCTTCCCCAAGGAGAGGATCCTGCCGTGCGACAGCTCCAGGACAATCCCCACTGAGTACGTGAGAACCATTACCGACATCTCTGCCAACATGTGCCACGCTACCATCTATGCTCCAAAAGAAGGTGCTGCTGAAGAAGCCAGGAGTGACATGCACTACAGCGTGGCCTCTGGGCCCAAACCTGTCATCCCTTCAGTCCGGAACAATCCCTACTTCCCTTGTGATAAAGTGGCCAAAGAGGAGGAGCGGACCTCTTCGGAGGACGAGATCAGCCAGCACTTTGAGCCCACCAACACACCCCTGGACCGCAAGGGACTCATCAGCCCTCAGAGCCCACAGAAGTCAGACTGTCAGCCCAACTCACCAACTGAGTCCAGCAGCAGCAAGAATGCCCGTATCGGTCAGAACTCCAGCTCCCTCTTCACCAAGAGCCCCACAGACCCCAAAGCCTGCAACTGGAAGAAGTACAAGTTCATTGTCCTCAACTCCCTCAACCAGAACGCCAAGCAAGACAGCGCTGACCAGAACGAGATGGGAACCCTCTCTCCTCGCACCTACGTGCCCATGTCCACTTGCCAGCAGTCCATGGAGCCGGAGCATCTCAATGTGCAGTCCCCCACCAAGATAAGTGTGAATGGTGAAGACTCTACTATCCCACAAGCGAGCAGACTCAACAATATTGTTAACAGGTGAGAAGACTTCCACCCCCCATGCTGCTCCCCCCTGAGAAACAGGACTTCCTGAATGTTGGTGAGGGTTTGGAAGTGTGAAATACCTGTAGCATTGGGCTGGAAAGTCCTGTCATGAGCAGGTTGGAGCCCCTGCATTTAGTGGAGGGCTGCCAGTGACACCGAGTGCCCACCGTCCCCGCTGTACTGGTGCCAGCATGGACCAGCAGAAGGACTGGGAACATTGGGTTGTGAATCCCTGGGTAACTTTGGCAGCTTTGGATGATTTCTGGAGCCTGGATTTGCCTAGCCTGTGTTTCCACCAGACTTCCTATGCCTCAAGCTTTTTGTTGGCTGTAGGCATTGGAATGGCCAAAGTATCAGGGAACAATATGCTATCCTCTGGACCTGGATGTTCCTAAAGACATTTGAGGTCATTTGGTGATGAACATTTGAAGGTTTGAGGCTTAAGGACCTGTTGTTGATCAGGGCTATGCTGTGCAGCTCACCACAAAGATGTCCCCATAAAACATGTGTGTCCCTTGTGTGGGGAGGGGTGCAAACGAGGGTCAGGTACCTCGAGCACAGCAAGGGCCATCTCACGGCTCTGTACACTGCTCTCCTTCCACAGGTCCCGGGACGGGTCCCCTCGGAGCAGCGAAGGACAGTCCCCTCTGTACATGCATTCATCAAAGTGCAGCTCCTGTGGCTGCCAGTCCCCACAACATACTGAGATGTGCCTTCATACCCCTGGCTCAAACTTTGGAGAAGAGATGGGGGAAACCCAGTCTGAATACTCTGACTCCAGCTGTGGTAAGTCTTGCATCCTTGGTCATCTTTTTCAACCAGCAGGTGGGCTGTGCAACGCTGGGACCCATCACTGAGTGCCCTGTAATCAAACACGCAGTCAGACCTGTCCCAGATGCTGGTGGATTCCACAGTGCTTTATAGCCCCCTCTTAACTGTCTGTCCAGTTGTGTGCGTGTGAGGGACACGTGCACATGGGAATTGCTGCCTTCCTCCCCTTCCCCAGCACCATCCAGATACCTTGTGCAGGGAGTTAGTCACCTGCTGCAGATCTGGCAGGTAAGGACAGGAAACAAGTGCACCCCACCCCACCAGAACCACAGGAGAACAAGCCTGACAGATGTAATGACCCGTAATGGGGATTGGGCAAGCTGACATGTCTCATGCATCCGTCATGATATCTTTATTATCAGGGAGCCCGGTGTGCACATCTGGGGAAATGCAGATAATGAGGGTTGCAATCTTGTTGCAAAACCCCACAAGCCCAAAGAGATGTATCTGTGCACTCATCTGCCTGTAGCTGAGGGAGGGGGAATGCAGCATTGCCACCTGTAGCTTGGGCAGAGATCCAAGGAGGGAACCTCACCGTGGTAACACTCAACACAACATTTAAAAGTTGGGCATCCTCCTACTGGGGGAACCTGCCTTGTGATTTGGGTGATGATCATCTTCCCAAGCTCAAGGCACACCTCTGTACCCGTAAAGGTTAAAGACCTCTAAAGGTGCAGGAGTTGCTCCAGAGCTGAGCATCCTTCAGAGGATGCCTGATACCTGGAGTGCTTCCATGGACCTCTTCAAAAGATGTCCAGGTGACATGCTGACTTCTTGGAAGCAGCCTGCGCATCACTAAAGGAGAGAGAAAGCTCTCAACTAGAGCTCGTGATGACTTTCCTCTCAAACCATGCATGTTGTTGCTGTATGCACCGGGCCAGGAGGCAACAGAATGCTGCAAGCACAACTGAACATGAACACCTGCACTTGGCTGCTTGTTCCAACACTTGCTCTGGCTACCCCTCTCCTCCATCCCAAATCCATCCCATAGCCTATCTAGAAGGTGACCCATGCACTGTCCATCTGATTGCTCCTCTCTCTGCCCTCCCAGAGAATGGAGCCTTCTTCTGCAATGAGTGTGACTGCCGGTTCTCCGAGGAGGCCTCTCTCAAGAGACATTCTCTGCAAGTCCACAGTGACAAGCCCTACAAGTGTGACCGGTGCCAGGCCTCCTTTCGCTACAAGGGGAACCTTGCCAGCCACAAAACCGTCCACACAGGTACAGTGTTGGCTATGGGGACAGCTTTGGGGAAGGCTGTGGGTTGCTGAGCATGTGGGTGTTTATGGCTGGGTTTGTGCCTGCTGCAGCATCATCTGCTCTGTGTCATGAGCTGTCCTTGATGGGAAGAGCAAGGTGTTTTACTTGGCACTGCCAGGGTGCCCTTGGACAGAGCACCAAACCTGGGAATGGGGGAGGTACCTGCCCTTGCAGCAGGGGTAGAACTCAACCTCCTTTGCTGTAAATCACTGGGCACCTCTGTTTTTAAAGGCATGGTGCAAAATTCATAACTGGGAGCAAATGCATGGCCTCAGGTAACTTTGTGGTAGACGTAAGCAAAAAAGAAAATAAAATTTAAAAATAGTCAAAAGAACATTTAGAGAGAAGTCTGAGATTAATTTTTACATCCTAGAAATCCAGGTCACATCTAGCTTGGCATAAACTCTGCTGATGGGAAAATCTGTGAATGGACGGACTCTGTGAATCAGCACAATGAAAGCTGAGAAAGGAAGAGGATATTAAGGGTTTAGTCATTTGCTGACAAACCTAGGGCTTATTTTATTTCATGCTTTTAATGCTTAACATGTCAACAGCCAGTTCACAAGCTGGGGAGGGGAAGTCTGGGCTGATGATTGTGCTGCTACATTGAATTAGACCCAAATTCCCACAGTTTGAGCTGAGCTCCAGGAAGGCTGTGCAGGGGACTAAGACAATACAAGTACCAGGGCAGTGTTCAAGGGTGCTTACTGAGAGCTGTAGGGAGGTGCAGGTGCCAGCTGCTGTCCCAGGGTCAGGAGGAACGATGCTTTTAATCCTTGCTGGCAGAGCTGCCTGACTTCCTCCCCTGCCCTGAAGGCTTCAGCTCCCAGTCCAGAAGAGAAAAGCTGCCTCCTGAGTTCACCCTGCTCTGTAGACACCCTGCCCAATGTGGTTTGTCCACAGCCATCTCCAAAAGGGACAGGAGTCAGGGATAGTGCTTCATGCCGTGGGGTCTGGTGCATGAAGAGACTTAACTCTGGGGAGCACCATGTATCCTGAGCACACCTGTAGCTAATCCCTCACCCTTTCTTCTGCAGGAGAGAAGCCGTACCGCTGCAACATCTGTGGGGCACAGTTCAACCGCCCAGCCAACCTGAAAACCCACACACGCATCCACTCTGGGGAGAAACCCTACAAGTGTGAGACTTGCGGGGCCAGATTTGTCCAGGTGCGTGTCTCTGGGACCTGCAGTGCCTGGGGAGGTGGGACATGGTTAGATCTTCTGCCCAAGACCAGCAGATCTTCACCACCAAGACTAGTGATGCCTCAATGGTAGGGAGGAGGCTGATGACGGCCCAGCTTGCTGCCTTGGGCAGCTGTCCCCGTGGTGTTGTGGGATAAATACGGAATTTAAGGTCTGAGGGGACAATTTGGCTTAGTAAGGAAGCCTGACTGCTGGTTGTAGCTATTCTGCTCCATTTTGTCTTAAGGACTGGAGGTACCAGAGCTCAGAAACATGGCCCTGAGTCCCAGCTATAACCCAATAGACCAGAAGAACTGTCTGGGCAGAACCCCATTCCCACAGGGATACCCTTGCTCCCACTGGGATGCTGTCCTCCCTGGGGCTGTCCTGACCCAGAGCTGCTCTCTGCAGGTGGCCCACCTCCGTGCTCACGTGCTCATTCACACCGGGGAGAAGCCGTACCCCTGTGAGATCTGCGGCACACGCTTCCGGCACCTGCAGACCCTCAAAAGTCACCTTCGAATCCACACAGGAGAGAAACCGTATCATGTGAGTGGCTCTGCTTTTTTTGGTGGTGGGGAATCTCAGCTTGGGATGGGGGAAAGTGCTGCCAAGCCTTGGGGGCTGGGAAGACACAAGGGCATTCGCATGGGCTGGTTGCAGCATCCTAATGCCCTTTGCCAGCCTCATGAGGCACCAAGGTCACATCCCTGCTTCTCATGCCCCATCTCCCTCCTGGGCATTAGCTGATACTGATGTGGTGTTTTTTCAGGCGTGGCTGTGTTGGAAACACTGACATGCAGCCCAAGCTGGGTGCATCTTAGTTGCTCTTCCACCCCATCTGGAAGAAGGTCACACTTCTTCAAATAGCTATGGCTTAGATTACAGCTGCCTGTGTTGCGTGGGGATGGGGAAAAGGAGCAGACAGCCTGGCCTGAGCTCCCCTCTGATGGTGATAATCGCACCCAGCAGGCAGTCTGCCTTGCTTGCAGCCCTGTGGGCTTCCAGCTCCTCGCTGGAGCTTTCCTGCCTTTCACCATCTGCTAGAAAGGGAATCTGAGCTTGGCATCCAAACATCCTGGAGCCATCCAGCTTGGCAGAGGTCAAGAGCAGCTCCAGAAATAGCCCTGTATCTGGTTTGATCACCTAGATATGGAGCTCGGTGCTATGTCGATCAGAGCCAGAGTCAGCTCCCGAGGGACCTTGCTCTTTGTGCATCCCATAAACCAAGATATGCTGCTGAAAGCCTGGGCTGGGTGCCCCCGGGTGCTGCTCCTCCCACCACGCTCCCGCTTTTCCCCTGGCCCACCTGTACAGTGACTGCAGCGTCCTGGGGCCCCTGGTGGAGAGGAGGCATTTGGGTGCCCCGAGGGGAGGAGGTGTCCCCCAGCACGGCGTTTCACAGCCTGTCTCTTTGCCCCGCAGTGTGAGAAGTGTAACCTGCATTTCCGCCACAAAAGCCAGCTGCGGCTCCACCTGCGGCAGAAGCACGGGGCCATCACCAACACCAAGGTGCAGTACCGCATCTCGGCCAGCGAGGTGCCTCCGGAGCTCCCCAAAGCCTGCTGAAGGATTTCCCGGGAGGAGCTTGTCTTCGGGGAGAAGCTGTCCAAAGGATACTTGCAACACTTTAAAAGGAGAGAGGAAAAAAAATAAAATAAAAAAATAAAAAAAAAAAAGAAGAGAGAGAAAGAAAGAAAAAAATATTCATCACATGATGGAGTGCCTCTAAACCCATAGTACAGATAGGTGGAAAAAACATTAGAAATTTAAAAAAAAAAAATTACAAATACACGGGTTTTATTTTTCCCAGTTATGTGAAACAAAAAGAAAAAATAAAATTATTCAGATCTTACTGTATATAAAACATTAAAAAATTTAAAATAGTCATTTTAAATGTCTGTGCAGTGGAGTGTTGATAAACTCTGGAGTCTAACCTTCACAGCCTTTGCCGTTTGAAGATGAGGAATGTAATGTTGATTTATGGGAACAGATTTTTTTCTTTTGTATGCAAAATGTGTGTTCTTTTAAAGAGAAAGTATGCTATTAAAGAGAGGGCTTTAACTTTTTTAACCAAAGGTGAAGGAATCTATGGCAGAGTTGTAAATATATATAGATATAAATATATAAATATATATATAAAATAAATATATATAGACCTTTAAAAAAGCTATATTAAAAATATATAAAATGCATTAAAGGCTCAGTGGGACTCTGCAGGCAGAAGCCACTCTGAGAATCTTTATTATGATAGAGCACTTAAGGAGATATTTTAAAGTATTGCATCTGTACAAGTAAGAAAATATTTTGTCTAAATGCATCAGTGTATTTGTATTTTTTTGCAAGTGAAGGTTTACAATTTACAAAAAAGTGTGTATTAAACCAACAAAGCTGCAGAAGGAATTTAAAATAATAATAAAGTGTAATTTTTTTGTTCTAGTTCTCAGTCTGTATATATGTAAAATGTGGTTTCGCACGGTGCCTTTCTTTTCAATGGAAGTTTTCAGTGTATGGACTATATTGAGCTCAGTTTCTTCAAGGTACAGCCTGATGTTGCAAAAGGAGTTTTGGTGGAACTCTCTAGTGGGGGAATGTTTTATTTTTTTTGTTTTGTTTTGGATTTTTTTTTTTGTCTTATTTTACATGCTTGTGTTATAAACAATCTCGGGAGACAGGGTTTGGGCTGTGTCTAAACTGCATTAATGCGTTCTGTAAAATATAGCTGTACAAATAAAAGAATAAAATGAAGAAAAGTGACGTATGATGGAGTGAGAGGTCTGTTCTTGCCTGTCCTTCTCTGTAAGCACCTTTGAAGCCTGGCTGGTGCCTGGGGCAGGGGCTGAGCATCCCGAGCCCTGCTGTGAGCTCTTGGCTTGCTGTGGCTCTGGGCCTGTGTTGAAGGCAGGGGCCTCTTTCAGCCTCGAGTGGCCAGAGGTGGTCTCTGTCAGGAGCTCTGAGCAAGACTCAAGTTTGCTCTGGATCCTGGTGGGGACTGTGCTGCCCCCATTGGTACTGAGAGCCAGCAGGAACAGGGCAGAGGCTGGGAGAGACCTTTGCTCACCAGCCCAGGGACAGTTCCAGATGGCTGAGAAGTTATTTATATTTCCTGGAATCCAGTGCTCTTGCCAGAATTGCTCAGGGAAAATGACTGCCTGCTGCTCCTCTCTTTTCAGAGCCTGGGATGGGAGGGCCTGCTGTTCTGCCTGCCTTGTGGGATGGTTCAGGGGAGCAGGGTCTGTAGCCCCATCCAGGACCTCACTCGCCTAGAGCATCTCTGTTTCCAGCTGCTGCATGCTGGCTTTGGGCCAGAGCTGCGACAGCCCAGCCTGAAGGAGTCCCTGGGCTGGTCCTGGTGGGGAGAGGAGCTGCTTTGCTCTCTTTGGGTGGCTGTGGTGTGCTGAGAGAAGCTCTGAGTGCCTGGGCCTGAGCTCTGTGCAGGCAGCCCAGCAGCTCTGTTCTGCTCCTCTGGTTTCAGAGTACCAAAGAGCCTCACGCAAAGTTTCTCTGAGTTACACAGACAGGACTGGCTGGAACCAGCACTGGTGTGGAGCCCAGCCACAGCTCAGCACGGCACGGGGTGGGGTCTGAGTTTCATTTTGAGTTTAGTTGATTCATGGCTAACTTTGTCTCGGGGCTTGCCAGATGATTCACAGTGGGGAGACTTGGAAGCACCAGCAGGAAGGGGCAGGCCTGGCTGTTTGCAGGGTCAGGAGGGGCTGCACTTAGGAGGAGCTGGAGATGAAGAGAAGGATGTGTTTTTCAACACACCATGGGACAGGGGTGGATGTGAGACAGCCAAAGCAGCCTTGCATGGGAGGAAAATGCCAAGGGGGGGAGCCAATTTGCAGTTTTGCAGCATCCTTGCTGCTCTGACTTGGCCTTCTGATGGTGATAGCAGGATGAGACAATTACTGCTGACATTATCTGAACCTTTTTAGGACCAGGAGCTATGAAGATGCTTTTGGGCCCCATCAGGGGAATTATAGCAATGCTATTTTAAGAGAAGTTTCTCCTGAGGAATTGTCTCGCTTAGCATAGCCTCAGGATCTGGACAGGCTGCTGACCTGGATGGAGTAGCTGGTATTCATCTTTGTGAGCTTGTGGCTTTTAGGTCTGCTGTTCTTCCTTATAACACCTTTGAGCTCTTGCTTTATGTGCTCATCTAAAGGCAATGCAGTTGCCTATTCCTGTTTGCCTCTAAATAAACACATTGTTTCAGGCTGAAAGCTAAAATTTTTAACTTCTACTCTGGTTTTGCCAAACCTCTACCTGGAGTTCTGTGTCCAGCTCTGCAGCCCCCAACACAAGGAAGACCTGTTGGAATTAATCCAGAGGAGAACCACTAAGCTGGTTGCAGGGTTGGATCATGTCTTCAGTGAAGACAGACAGAGAGAATTGAGACTGTTCAGCTCGGAGAAGGTTCCAGGGAGACCTTAGAGCACCTTACAGTGCCTAAAGGGAGCCCACAAGAGAGTTGGAGAGGGACTTTTCACCAGGACATGTAGTGATAGCACAAGGGGGAATGGCCTTTAGCTGAAGGGAGGTAGATTTGGAAAACATTCTTACCCATGGTGGTGGTGAGGCACTGGAACAGGTTGCCCAGAGAAACTGTGGATGTCAAATCCATGGAAGTGTTCAAGGCCAGGCTGGTTGAGGCCTTGAGTAACTGTAATTAGTGGAAGGTGTCTCTGCCCATGGCAAGGGGATATGATCTTTAATATCCCATCCAACACAAGCCATTCTATGATTTTTCTGACACCCAGCTTCTCTGGCTTGTCCCCCAGCAGACCAGATCTGCTGCCATGTGAAGAAACCCCACAAAAAGGCAAGGGCTGAGCAATGAGCTGGAGCCAGCTTCTCTCTCCTCCTGTTTGATCTGGCTGGGCAGGATGGCTGCCCGGCAGTCTGCGGCAAGTGCCTGCCTGTGTTTCACAAAGTGAGGTCTTCCCAAGCATCCTTCTGGGAAAGAGCCTATTTTTCACCCTTGAGGCTGCCATGAGACCTCACCAACTTCCTTGTGTTAGAAACAGGGTGGTGGGAAAATGACCACAAATGGAGCATTGCCTGAGTGTTGACAACAGCAAAATCGTGCTTTCCCACCTTGTTCCCTCACTTGCTTTCCCTTTCTACCTTTCTCTGGTGGGTTTTTAACGTTTAGTAAAGCTGGCTGTCCTCACAACAGGGTTTTGACACACATTCTCTCATCTGACACACATATTTAGGTTTCTCTCCTCCCTGCCAGGACCTGGTTGCCTTTGAGCTCACCACCTCTCTGGTTACTGCACTTGTCCCTTTTGGAAGTGGCTGGGCTGGGCTGACAGCTCCACTTGCCCCAGACAAGCAGCTGTGCAGCCACGACCTCTATTTCCCATTGACCTGCTCAGCTGCACTTACAAAATAAATACTGTATTTTCCCAGAACATGGTTTCCTCCTCCTGACGGATTTATTTTTTTTTAAACAGTGATGTCATGGCTTTTCCAGGCAGTTCAGCCGAAGCGATAGCAACCCGCGGTCAGAGGCCTGCAGGATCTGGCACGGATAGTGTTTGGAGAGGCAAGGCAGCCGTGACACCCAGAGCTGCCCTGCACCTGCTCTGTGCCTGCTTTCTACCCACTAACAACACTCAGCTGCCCAGCCCTGCCAGTGTGGGCACTGCCCTCGGAAAACCCAGCTTCAGGGACAGGCTGGCACTCAGAGTGAACCACCAAGCCTGTGAAATGACTGGTTGCCAGGAAGGCTCAGCGTGGGGATGGGGATTCAGGCTCCAGGGGAGTGAGCAGGGCAAGGGGAGGGGAAGTTTTATGTCTTTTGGCAGCTCTGATGGACGATCCTCGGGGCCGGGGCGCTGCGCTGCATTCTGCCGAGTCTGCACAAGAGGGCAGTGGAAGACGGAGTTTAGACAGGCAGTCCTGGAACTATGGAATGGCTTGGGATGGAAGGGACTTTAAAAATCATCCACTTCCAACCCTGGACAGGGATACTTTCTTCAAGATCGGGTTGTTCAAAGCCTCATCCAGCCTGCTCTTCCAGGTGTGGAACATTGGCAGCTTCTGTAGGTCACCCATTCCTCACCACCCTCACAGTAAATAATTGCTTCCTTATATCTAACATAAATTAACCCTATTTCAGTTTAAAGCCATTTCTCTTTGTCGTGTCCCTGCATAGCCTTGAAAAAAAGTCCATTGCCGACTTTCTAGGATCCTGTTTAGGTACTGGGAGGTGCTATAAGGTCTCCTCAGAGCCTTTTCCAGGCTGAACAGAGATAGTGTTAATGAGGAGAGTTATGTAGAGAGATAAGACAAAGCCCTGTATTATTTCCTGATTTTGTGTGCTCAACCATCTGTACCCATCATCTCTTTCCTTATGATAATAATTGGTCACAGCTCAGGCCAGCGTCTCTCTGTATGGTCCCAAACACAGCCCTGACTCCTGGCAGCCACTGCAGTAGTACAGGTAAATACCCTGGTCTTTAACTCTCTTATTATACCTGGTATATAACTCTTAGCTCAGCCTGTTCAACTTTGCTTGCGTTGATCTTTCCCTTGTCTTTCCCATGCCTTTCCCTTCTCTTTTCTCTTCCCTCTTCCTTTCCCTTTTCCCTTCAAGGCAGCTGCTATCAGTCCTATGGATGCCATGACAATACCCTAGGTGGCTGA